TACTGCCTCTGATCTGGCAGACTCACTAAACACACATGCGTCGTTGGTAAATGATGTCTGAGTGTTGGTGTGGAGACAATCAAAGAGGTGTAATGGGTTCTCACTCAAAAATATGTCGCATTAAGCTGACATCATTATTCAATGTTTTTAATTTTTTACTGCATCAGGGATAGCGTGCCCCTGGCTATCCATAAATTAAAAAAACAAGAATATGGTGCCATCTGATTTGCTTAATAGAAGGAATTTGATATGATTTATACTTATACTTTTGATACTTAATTACATTTGAGCAATTCATTACGTATTTTTTATACTTAAGTCTATTTAAAATAAAATAATTTTAGACTTTTACACAATTAGTACATTATTTTACTGGGTAACTTTCACTTTTACTTGAGTGTTATTCTATTAAGGTATCTTTACTTTTACTCAAGTATCACAATTGGGTACTTTTTCCACCACTGAGAGTGTCTTCCCTCCTCTCTGACACCAAAATGCAGAGGCCTTTGAAAATTAATTGTATCCACCTTTTCCTCCATCTTGAGATTACGTGTCATGAAAACCTTGACTTGATCCTCAGTTGCCTGATAGTTTTCATCCTCCTTTATTCCCATTATGACAATATTATTCTTCATACTTCTGCACTTCAGACCAAGTAATTCTGTTTTCATTGTGTTATTATCATACCATAGCCTCTCATTAGTGCAGGGTTCCCCAACTGGCAACCCGCGCCCCGGATTTGGCCCACATGGGATTTTACTTGGCTCCCAAATTTTTCAGAGCAAAATAAAGTATAATATATTCTTAATTTGTGGACATACAATACTGTAAAAAGACCAGAAAATCAGCTCCAAGTGATTTACATTTTGGAAGTCTGTTCCAAGGTATTACCACGCATAATAGAAAGATATATGTAATTGTATACTAATGTAAGCAAGGTTTTATAGTGATTATGTTTTAGTCATCTGTTTGGGCTTCTTGCGGTCAATTTGCAGTCAATGAATTATTTGTAATTATATTCTGGCCCCCCTGACCATCCGCTTGTGAAAAAATCGTCCTGCAGCTGAATCTAGTTTATGGTCCTTGAATAAAACTTTAAAATATATTTTTAAAATCTCAACCGTTGCTGCTCAACACCAACTAAAAAGGCTGCCGGGTCCTCCATCTTTATTAACACCATACGTGATTTTATTTGATATAAGACATACAAATGTGCTAATAAAATAAAAGAATCAATTGTGGTGCTCTTGTTCGCTTCGATGTGTACGATTCTGGTTCGAGCATTTTAAAGTGTTGATCAATAAATAGTTGAATGTTCTGTATATTATCCATTACGTTTGTTTTACAGTTATTAGCTAATCCTTAATTTTACGATTAAATAATGGGTCAAGCTGTGCCTACCATGCTGACACGTCATTTCCCCCCTAAATAACTTGTTACCCTTACCTGAGAGTCTGGAGAAGATGAGGATGAGGAGGGAGAGGGAGAGATGAGAAGCCATTTCTGGGTATGTGTCTCCTGTTCTATGGTACCAATGCACAATGTTTGTGTCAAGGACCAAGGCACCAAAGAGAAAGACTGAACTTCCTAATAGCTATAGCTGTCTTTAACTCTCTTCCTGCTTCTGTTTGAGTGTATATGCCCCCCTCAGTGGCAGATAGAAACTATTACATTCTATGAACTAGTTGTAACATAAGGCTCTAAGGCACTACAACTGATTACTTTATTTAATTTGCACATTTGTACATTTGTCTGTTTATTGTAAAATAAAGTCCATGAAACATCATAGATAAATATAAATGTTTGTGCTGCTATGACGAAATGGAATTATTTGTTCAGCTCTTTACACTTTTCATGTGTGGAACTTGACCATACAAGAAAAGAATGCTGCTAATTCTGCAAACCACAGAGATATGAGGAAGTGGGAAATGTTTCCATGACAACAGTGTCTTGGCATATACTTGGTGTGAAAACATTTAAGGAGGGTGTTTTTGTTCCCTAAACTACTGTGAAAAACAGAAGAAGTTCATATTTATATTGCCATCCAATTGGAAGAATAAGTGTTACATACAGCTGAATGAGTGATAATTACCTCATGGTGTCCTTCTCCTTGCCCCTCTCAGAACATTTACATTTAAGTCATTTAGCAGACGCTCTTATCCAGAGCGACTTACAGTTAGTGAATACAATTTTTTTTATTTTTTTATTTTTTTATACTGGCCCCCCGTGGGAATCGAACCCACAACCCTGGCGTTGCAAACGCCATGCTCTATCAACTGAGCTACATCCCTGCCGGCCTTTCCCTCCCCTACCCTGGACGACGCTGGGCCAATTGTGCGCCGCCCATGAGTCTCCCGGTCGCGGCCGGCTGCGAAAGAGCCTGGATTCAAACCAGGATCTCTAGTGGCACAGTTAGCACTGCGATGCAGTGCCTTAGACCACTGTGCCACTCAGGAGACAAGAACCTTGGACTGTGTTGTTAGTCTGAACAGGCTCAGCAGTTGGAGAGAAAGAGGATTGTTCAGTGGTTGGAGCTTGGGTTGCTGTGAGGTAAAAACAACAATGGTATTATGACTGGTGTACCAGAGAGACACAGGGTAGACTGAACTGTAACAAGACACTGTGGCTAAGCTATGATCTTCTTCTACAACTTATGTCATTTACTCCAACATGTGGGTTTTGTTGAGTTCAAACCAATAGTAGGACTACTGTAATCAGGTTATAATCCAATTTGTTTCAGATGATAAGCAAGCAAGACTGAATAAAACAAGGTTATTACTTAAAAAACCCTAGAGTCGATTGATGCACCGGTGTGTCAATCAAAGTGACACAATAATAAAATCCCCATCAAAAATCTGTCAGTTGAAGCTAAAGATATCTTCTATATCTGATATTGTGTCAGTCCAGCTCATCTGCGTATGTTGCACTCCGGCGGTGAAAGGTGGCAGATCCAGAGCGGTGTTTGTCAGACCATGACGTAGGGTTTCCACCACTTTCAAATTCGCCCCCATTCATTTCAACCGGAGCATGCAGAGCAATGCCCAGGGGATTGTGGGAAGGTAAGCCGCGCGAACCCTGCTAGCGGAACGATATAAAAAGTTCAGCTCTGCTGTACTTTATGCAAATTACACCCGGCCACCCCTGCCGTTATCTTATCATGTGAGGAGCAGAGGTTTGCTTGAAAATCTTCTGTTCTTGAAACAGTTCCGCCGGTCATTAGTTCCAGGCATGTACAACCAAAAAAGATGGAAGAAAGCCAATCATTGCTGTGTCTGGTTTTCCAATTCTATATGAGTTTGCTTTGCCAGAATACAGAGACAAAATCATAAGGTCAATGGCATAGAGGAGGATTGCAGAGATTGTTGGAGTTGATGGTGGGTGAAGAGAGATTTGCACAACGTTTGCTTGTGCTGCTAGCTAGCTATGAACATCAAGCAACCTAAACCTCAAAACTGTGATCAAAGCCACCGTTTGTAAATGTGTTGAGTAAATTAAATTGTGAAATTTGCCCACCAAAGGATATAAAATCAGCAGTAACACGCATTATAACATTATAAAAAATACAGTAAGCATGAATTTCCCATGTAATATACTACCAATTGGATTATGGTATCTTAACATTATGATTCTCATATATTATAGCTTATGGCTCTTTCATGATACTGGTGTCATGACATTGATGATTATAGGCCTACATGCACATGAATGGGTACTTTGGGTAAAGGAAATTGTGGCTTTGACTTGCAAACATTGTTGTGCAAATCTCTCTCTACCCATCATCAACACTAACATCTCTGCAATCCTCCTCCATGCCGTTGACCTTCTGATTTTGTCTCTGTATTATAAAATCATTCTCAGCAAATAAACAAGGTAGAATTATAATGCTCTCCACGCCACATTATTTTCCTTTTTGATATTTGTAATTAGCCTACAAAGCCAGCTGCTTATTTTCATGTACAGTACTGTACCTAGAATACAATGGTTGGATTTGCAGTAAACAATTTCATGTTAGAAAAATGTATTGTATTGTAGTATACAACATTTGCTAACATACGTATACATTCAACCCATGGCATACAAGGATGTGGCAGCAGTCTCTTGGGACATTCATTGGGACCTCTTCATCTACATACAGGCTTTCACAGCTCTCCATATCTGAGGACAGACATCACAAAGAAACAGGCTTCATTTTATTACAATTAGACAGCCCTGACTATTATCTCCTTGTCTGTCTTCATAGTTTTCCTCTCTAGGACTAGAACGCCAGAATATTTGCATAATGTCATCCCACAACCTGCCCTGTCTAACTAGCTAGTACACCTACTCTCTTTTCTGACAGCTGGAGCAGAAAATCCTTTCACCCTCTTCCATTGCTGCAATCTACAAATGCATTTGGAGCATGAGTTTTTAATTTACAATGATGAATAGGCATCAAGATAACAAGCTAATATGACGTTAACTAGCTGTAGTATGTAAGGTTAGCTAACAAGCAGCTCATTAGCCTACACACAGTGGCCTGCTGTACCTAGCTAGCTAATAATACATTTTTATTTTTATTTATTTTTTAATTCAAATTGTACTTAGCTACTTACTTGAATAGGTTCACGCCTACGCCCATGCCCACAAAGCGTTTTGCTCTACAGCCCCTACACGTGTCATGGGACTCATCTGAAGGTAACCGGTACTGGTTGAACAAAATTATTGAAAGTCTGTTTTATTTTACTGTATTTTTTGCCATTTATGAATGTGTTATTCAATGTGTTTCTCCGGCTATTATATTAAAGGCCAAATTCAATATTTTAGCAAATCATTTTTTTATACTTAAAGGGGTCCTAAAATTCAATTTCAAATAGCAAAATGATCCATAGTATGACCATCTTAAAACAATTGTGAACCCCCCACGACTTAGACTTTTAAGAATTAATTATACAGTATCTGATTGCTCTCGACTCACTGGACATAGTGGTGATACTTTGTGTGGTGGTTTGTCGTCTGACAGTGATGTGAACAGAGTCCTCTGGCTCCAGATCAGGCATGGTCACAGTGATCCTTTGCTGGTTGTTGTCATCAGAGATTGAGGCCTTATCTGTGCGCTTAGGAGGGTCAGAGCGTACAACAGGGGATCAACTATAAAAAGAGTCTCCTTTACACCAGTATTTCACATGGGTTTTGTATTCCTGAATATAGCGACATGGGATGGTGGAGGAGCCTCCTGTCTTCACAGACACACGATAAGCACCTGTAGACACAACAACAGAAAACACATTAGATTGGAATTCAATAAAATTCTCACAGCAGTAAAATGACATTCCATCTGGACTATAACACACATAATACAGGAAGTGTATTGATAAGACAAGCTACTGCTCCTGTCTTCAGAGTGTCAGCATGTGTCCAGTCCCAGTCCCTGACCTCAACTTCAGCACTTCATAGAAACATGTTACCCTTACCTGAGAGTCTGGAGAAGATGAGGAGGAGGATGGATGGAGAGGGAGAGATGAGAAGCCATTTCTGGGTATATGTCTCCGTATGTTATATGGTACAAATACACAATGTGTGTGTCAAGGACCAAGGCACCAAAGAGAATGACTGCACTTCCTAATAGCTGTAGTCGTCTTTAACTGTCTTCCTGCTTCTGTTACAGTGTATATGACCCCTCAGTGGCAGATAGAAACTACTACATTCTATGGACTAGTTTTAACCTACTTTTTAAATACTAATACTTATTTCAATCCATTTTCCATTCAGCATTAACTTTTTCCTTTTTTACACAGCTTGTATATTTATTATACACATTTGATCATGATCAGTTACATTTGACTAGATACATGACATCAATAAGATGGTGATGTGGGGAAAAAGTGACAAGGGAAAAGGGCATTGGAGCAGGTGGGCGGGACATACAGTAACTAATATAACAGATATGTGGTGATAATCAAAACAAGCACAGCAGACTGTCTTCAGTAGTTTATGGACACAACAAGGAGACAGGGGTGGGTTAGGAGGTGTGGGAAGAAGCATACTGGAGGCAGATAGATAGTCATGACTCATGTTGTGACACGGAAGGGGAGTGGGCTGTCCTTCCAGGATAAGGGCTCTTTAGGACCAAGATCTTCACTCAGTCAGTCACTGTGTGTTGCTTTCCTCTGCTGGAAAGAAAGTAGTTTGGTGCACAATACAGGCATGTTCTAGAAATAATGATAACAATGTAGTCAGCTTCTCTGTTTGATAAGGATAAGAAATGTGTGGCTAAAGAGTGATGTATTGCACACATACAGTAGTAATGTATGGTCTTGTCTGTTTCTTTGTTGAGAGATTAGCATCATCTGTGTAGGTACATGAGAGAGAAGATAAGTCAACACTGACCTGTGTGGTGTAGGGCTAGTGAGCTGTAGACCACATTATCATCTGTTTCTGCCTAGAAGAGAGGAGGGACACACACAGGTAGAGAGGTGAAGAGGGACAATTTGTGATGATGGAATGTAGACTACAGCTCGGAATCACTGCAACCTTTGTTGCAGAATAGCTGAAACGGGATGAGATACATAAAGACATGAAAACTCAGAAATGTTTACAGCTTTACACATTTTCAGTGTCTACACCCTAAACACCAATGACTGCCAAAACACGGACCACAAAACCCTCCTTTTCAAGTACTCTGACGACACAGCCATCCTGTTCCTCCTGAAGGAACCCCCATCCTTCCAGCAATATCAGTCATCCGTTACCCAATTAGTTGAATGGTGCCACAATAACTACCTAGATCGCAACGTCTCCAAAACTAAATAAATAACCATTGACTATCCCAAAACCCCCACCTGTGACGGCTCTATCATCAACAGAGAGGCCGTTGAAATGATTCCTTCATTCAACTACCTCTGAATTACAATAGACCACAAGCTAACCTTTGATCAACACACCACTGAAATAACTAAGAAGTCCCAGAAACGTGTCTGTTACCAGGCGTCTGATCCACCTGTCTGTCAAACCCAAACTCCTTCTGCTACTCTACCGGAGCATCATCACCACTACTCATCTACTGAAGTATCTGCTACCACAACCTGCTCACAGTCTCACACCACAATAAACTATTAAGGATCACCAACACGGCATCTAAACTGATTGGACCCCCCACTCCATAGTGTTCCCTTTTTAATATCGGACACTTAAATGTCTCACTGCAAGCTTCAGGAGGAGTTTCATCCCAGGGACAATGACAATTCTAAACAGATCCATGTATCTTCCTCCTATGGGCAGGTGGGTGGGACTATTTATGTCTAACTGTTGTTTGTTTCCTGATGTTCCTCTTGTAGGACAATAAAACTGATTCTGATATGTGACTTCATCTATAACCCCATGCACCAGTCTGCCACATAGCCAATAGAACAACACAGATACAATTTCATCTATTAACATCATAGTGATCGGAATAGCAGCCTTACCTTGGTCTGTACATTTCGCTGGTTCCTCCTCTTGGGGACAACAGTGCTGTAAGTCACATCATCACCATTGGCAGGAAATGGGTCCAGCTGTAGGGCTAGTGAGCTGTAGACCACATTATCATCAGGTTCTGCCTAGAATAGAGGAGGGACACACAAACAGGTAGAGAGGTGAAGAGGAACAATTTGTGATGATGGAATGAAGGCTACAGCTTGGAAACACACATGAATAGGTACATAAAGGCAATAGAACAACACAGATACAATTTCATCTATTAACATCATAGTGATCAGAATAGCAGCCTTACCTTGGTCTGTACATTTAGCTGGTTCCTCCTCTTGGGGACAACAGTGCTGTAAGTCACATCATCACCATTGGCAGGAAATGGGTCCTGCTGGTAGAAACACACAAAGGGGGTTGATGATAAAAACTCATCATCAGTCTACATGTATGAGATACCTTTGGATATTTACATAATCCACAATATAAGGCATCTATTTGTTTTAACAACATTAAGATATGAGCTTTCTTCCTCTCAAACAGCACAGTGTCAGTCAGGTCAAATAGGAACAGGACAGAGAAGCAACATAGGCCTACTGTGTCTGCAAAGCTGACCAGGAAATCACCTTCAAGACCCACTGCAGCCTCCCTACAACATCATTTATCACCTGATTTACTGAACAAATGGCACATATCAATAGGTGGTCCAGGTGTCCTCTGACATGGCAGAAGTGTGTGTGTGTGTGGGGGTGTGTAGTTTTTCTATTCTTGTCTATTCTTCCCAGAAGTGTTGCCAAACCCTTGAATTTTGCGATTGCATCTAAAAAAAAAAACTATTTTACTCAGGTCATATTTTTTTTACCTTAAGTATATGTACTTTACTGTATTTATACTTGGAATATCCTTTTTCAACTGGAATAGTTCAGAAATAGCTGGAGTGGTACTTTAACCAGAAACTGAAATCACACTGTCTCTACAGTCCTGGGTATGTTTAATTGACTGTAAATATAGAGTTAACATGTATAAATTATACAGTTACAATGGACATGACGCTGTAGCTGAAGAGCTAATGTGTTATTTAAGTCCATCTGATGTCCATGTCCTGTCCATGGCCACGTCCTGCATTTTTCACAGACAGGGTCTTACCCACAAGGCCTTGAGTCAGATGAGAGGAACATGAGTGTAGCCTACCAATGAGGTGTTTGTTGTCTGGTCCATGGCCTTATTGTCCTCTGGAATAAAGAAAGAGAGATGCAGTATTAGAGACCTCTGAGATACACTAGAATAATACTGAATACATTCATCATAGAAGAGTTATACTTTTGAGTCTCCTCCTTTTATGTCAAGATACATTGGTTATAACATAGGCTAATACAGTTGTCTTCAAGGAAAATATTGATTGTCTCATGAAAATATCTCCAAAATCAAACGTATCACTTTTTTATTACAGTCATTATAGAATGAATACTTACTATGATTTCTCCACATCTTCCATGTGACTAGGACACCAGCTATCACCACCACCAACATGCCCAGAGGAATCAGTAGGACTTTTAGATCTATGGAACTGATTGTGAAAGACTATGTTTACTGTAAAATAAAGTCCATAAAACATCACAGATAAGTAGATAATTATTAGTTTTTTGCATTATGTTTTTTGTGCTGTTCTGACTAAATGGAAATATTTGTTCAGCTCTTCACACATTTTATGTGTGAAACTTGACCATCCAAGAATAGAATGCTGCTACGTCTACAACCACAGAGATATGAGGAAGCGGTAAATGTCTCTATGAGAACGGTGTCTTTTTGGTCTATACTTAGTGTGGAAACATTTAAGGAGGGTATTTTTGTGTAGTGTGAAAAACAGAAAAGTTTACGTTTCTTCATATTTCTATTGCCATCCATTTTTAAGAGTAAGTGTGAAATACAGCTGAATAAGTGATCATTACCTCATGGTGTCCTTCTCCTTGCCCCCCTCAGGTCCTTGGACTGTGTTGTCAGTCTGAACAGGCTCAGCAGTTGGAGAGAAAGAGGATTGTTCAGTGGTTGGAGCTTGGGTTGCTGTGAGGTAAAAACAACAATGGTATTATGACTGGTGTACCAGAGAGACACAGGGTAGACTGAACTGTAACAAGACATTGTGGCTAAACTATGACCTTCTTGTCCAGCTTATTTACCCCAACATGTGGATTTTCACTTAGTATAAGCACTGTTGAGTTCAAACCAATTGTAGGACCACCGTAAGTATTCCCAAAAGCTCAGAATGTTGATTTGTTAACATGAAGTAAAAACAACAATGGTATTATGCAGGGGTACAACTTTGGTTTTAGAAGTGGGGGAGACATAACCAGCTTATTTAATTTACCCCAACATGTGGATTTTCACTTAGTATAAGCACTGTTGAGTTCAAACCAATTGTAGGACCACCGTAAGTATTCCCAAAAGCTCAGAATGTTGATTTGTTAACATGAAGTAAAAACAACAATGGTATTATGCAGGGGTACAACTTTGGTTTTAGAAGTGGGGGAGACATAACCGCTCTGAGGCATCTGCATGGTCCTAAAGCACAACGGTGCAATGATACAACTGGGGGGGGGGGGGGGGGGGGGGAAACACGCAATTTCAGAATGTGGGGGGGTCATGTCCCCCCTGTCCCAAGTGAAGGTTGCGTCCCTGGTAAAATGACTGGTGTACCAGAGAGACACAGGGTAGACTGAACAGTAACAAGACATTGTGGCTAAACTATGACCTTCTTGTCCAGCTTATTTCATTTTCCCCAACATGTTGATTTTCAATTAGTATTAGCACTGTTGAGTTCAAACCAATGGTAGGACCTCTGTAACTATTCCCAAAAGCTTTGAATCTGGTCAAAATCCAATTTGATTTAGATGATAAGCCAGCAAGACTGGATAAAACCAGGTTAATACTTAATAATACAGTATCTGATTGCTCTTTACTCACTGGTCACAGTGGTGGTACTTTGTGTGGTGGTTTGTCGTCTGACAGTGATGTGAACAGGCATCATACGGTCTCCCACTTCACAACTGTACCAGCCAGTGTTCTCCATCTTCAGATCACTCATAGTCACCGTTATGTTGTTTCTTCTTGTGGTCTGCTGTAGGGTCACTGATGTTCCATCTATACTCCCAGAATTCCCCCACATACAGGAGACACTGCTAATCCTGCCAATCCTGCACCACTTCATATGTCCAATTTCACTATAGTAACATTTTACAATGACACTCCCTCCTTCAACTCCAGTCACCTCCTGTTGGTCCACATAGAGTTCTGGAGTACCTGAACACAGAGGTACACACACCAAAGAAGGTCCTGAGTGATCAAGTGGTTTTTTGTAACAACTGACAACAAATATCATAATTATGATATGATGGATAGAGAACAGAAAGTAGACATATACCAACTTTCCTCATGCCAACTTGAACAATAATAGTGATACCAGTAAATGAAACCAGAACACCAGTAATGTAATCATATGGAAGAGTTGCAGGGTCTTACCTGGAGTAACAGATAGGTGGAACCAATTTGTCCAGATATGTGGTAGGCCATTGATCACCACAGTACAATAGTAATATCCAGAGGACTTTCTCCCCAGATCAGTCATGTTCACAGTGAAGGTTAGCTGGTTGATGTCATCAGAGATTGAGGCCTTAGCTGTGCTCTTAGGAGGATAAGTGCGTACAACAGGAGAGCAACTATCGAAATAATATCCTTTACACCAATATTTCACATGGGTTTTGTATTCCTGATGATAGGGACATGGGATGGTGATGGAGCCTCCTGTCTTCACAGACACACGATAAGCACCTGTAGACACAACTACAGAAAACACATTAGATTGGAATTTAAGCAAATTCTCACAACAGGAAAATGACATTCCATCTGGACTATAACACACATAATACAGGAAGTGTTATTGATAAGACAAGCTACTGCTCCTGTCTTCAGAGTGTCAGCATGTGTCCAGTCCCAGTCCCTGACCTCAACTTCAGCACTTCATAGAAACATGTTACGCTTCTTTTTTTTTGCCAATCCACCACCCCCCTCCTTGGAGGATAAAAATAACTTTGTTTGTTCAGTTTTGTTCCCTGTTACATTTACATTCTACACATATGTTATTTACATGGCACTGTTGTTACACGGTAGTTACATAACAAAATGTAGTTATTGGATATACATTACATTGGGATAGATAGTACTTAAACACATACATTTTACATTATATATAGTGTTTTCAGTCATAACTACTATAGATCATGGGCTTCTAATCCCACCCCTCAGATGCTCTCAGTCCATCTCACCTATCTCCGTAAACCACCCTCTTATGATTTACATGTGCCATATATTTTTCTATTGTGCTGTGATGTTTCACATGATTTCTAAACCTGTCTAATCGCATAGTATCTACAGATTGTATATTAAAGAATAACATTTTAAGAGTATTATTACATTGTTGATTGATTGACTATGGCCTTCCAAATCTCCCAACAGTGCTACCTGTAGGGTTAGTTTCAGGTAAATGTTGTGATTTTTCAGCCACTCCTGAACCTGTGACTAGAAACAAGCTACATAGGGAAAAGACCAGAATAAGTGATCTAATGATTCTGTCTCTTCATAGCAAAATCTGCAGAGCGGAGCTGGTTGTATGCAGCATATACATAACATTCTGTTGGTGGCAAGAATTTTTGATAATAATTGTAAGTTTACATTTTGAACCAAGTGTTGTTTTATGTATCAGTTTATAACATTTTTACATTTTACATTTTAGTCATTTAGCAGACGCTCTTATCCAGAGCGACTTACAGTTTAGTGAGTGCATACATTATTTATTTTTTGATTAAGCCATGGAATCGGAATCTCCACCTTCTACCCCTTCCACTTGCCTCTTCCTTTTTGTGGTAATGCTGCAATCAATTGGTTGTAATTTTGGATAGTGCAAACATTTCCAAATATTTTTGTTAGCTGCACATTTTACATATCTACACCTTTCCTATTCATAATGTCATCAACAAAGAAAATTCCTTTTTTTATAAAACAATTTCAGAAATAACGTTGTTTTTTAAAATCAATTAGTGTATTTGAGTTTAACCATAATATTTGTTGTTATATTTCTTCTGTCTTTTCTGGAGGATGAATCTGGAATTGCAACCAGCTCTGTATGATTTGTTTTAGAAAAGGTGATATTTTGCAAAGCTTCCATTTTCAGTTCATTGAAAATGTGACGTTGTAATTTAGATAAGGGCAAAAAGGCAATTTTTATCAAGGGGTGAGCCATTCTTACTGATCTACTTCAGAACCAGTTCGGCTTTAAGTATAACTTATGTATGATTGATGCTTTTAGTGAGAGGTTTAATGCTTTAATATTTTATCATTTTTGCCCCCTGAATTCATATTCATTATATAAATAAGCACGTTTAATTTAATCTGTCTTGCCATTCCAAATAAAGTGAAATATTTTTGATCATATAATTTGAAAAACATATCGTTTGGCGTAGGCAGGGCCATAAGTAAATAGGTAAACTGGGATATGCCTAAACAACTAAAAAGGGTGATTTTTCCACCAATAGACAGGTATTTACCATTCCATGGTAGCAAGATCTGATCTATTTTTGCTAACTTTCTATTAAAAATTGTTGTAATGAGTTCATTTATTTACAGAGTATGTCCACTTCATTGTCAGACAATTGTTTTGGTAAACTACACGGTAATCTAAAAGTGGTATTTTTTTTACGATCCAATACGTACAGTGCCTTGCAAAAGTATTCATCCCCCTTGGCATTTTTCCTATTTTGTTGCATTACAACCTGTAATTTAAATGGATTTTTATTTCGATTTCATGTAATGGACATAGACAAAATATTCCAAATTTGTGAAGTGAAATGTAAAAAATAACTTGTTAAAAAAATTATACAAAATAAATAACGGAAAAGTGGTGCGCGCATATGTATTCACCCCCTTTGCTATGAAGCCCCTAAATAAGATCTGGTGCAACCAACTGATAGATGAATTTGTGTATAAAAAATAATGACTAAAAGAATTTCACCCCAAACACAGTATAAATGTTAGAATTATCATGTAGTGTCAACCCACTAACAGAGGGGACGTTACTAACCATTCAAGGGGGAAGGCGGGAACTGTTTAAGAAAGGTGGGAGGAGCATAGTGTCTTTGTTTGTCAAGGAGTATAAAAACAGGATATTTGTGTTTTTGAGCAGAGCTCTCCTTAAATAAAATGTACTGATAATTACTTGTGGATTGTGGACCTTAAATCATTGATGATTAAAACCAGAGCTTTACAACCTCTGGTAATGATTCAAGCTTAGGTTGAATTAGAGATAAAAATTCACGTGACAGATTGGTCCTTCGAGCCGGATCTTAATACATCTTTATCGTTATAGAGACACCGAAATCCGTGCACGGCCGGGTGATCGCATCCGTGAGAGAGTCCTGGCCTTCCACGTTAAGGTTAATAAACAGGCCGGTGATTACTCTTTATGAACGATAAAGACATTAACAAGTATGAAAAAGCATTTTAATCCAGACTGCAAGGAAAAGGTCAGTAATTTTTATTCATGGATTTTGGTAAAATGAGTTGAACTTAGTTACCAAAGTCAAAGAAGGTAATAATTATTACGACAGGGAGGGTCCGCAATTGATCCTAGAGGTAAATAGCTATTACAAAAAAAAAACTAGTCCGAAATGACATGGTAGTGAATTGCAATCACAAATGTAAACTAAGTTAATATTGTCATTGTACGAGTTGCAGTATGACAGTATAAGGGAAATAATTATCATCGTGTGAGAGGGATGTGTCAGGAGTTCTATATGCGACTGGGCATTTGCTAGAACTGTGCAAACAAGTTTAACAGATGATAAGGCCGTATGTGTGTGAGACTTAATCCCTCGGGAGACGTGATTATTATTTCAGGGGTGGAGGGAAAAAATAAGTCGCGTGAGGAAAATTGGGTAACTTACTCTTTTCATGAAACCGGAGTTTTAAATAGAAACTCTGGGTTAGGGGTTAAATAATTTTAAAGGGTTAATTACAAAAGCAAGAGGTGCACTAAGAGATTGGCTCCTACGGAAATAATTCGGGAGTGAATTATTTAAAAAACAAAAAGGGGGGGAGGGATTTCTTATTGTTCCACGATGGGAAAGACATCTTCTAAACAAGTCAGAGAATTAACGGGAGATGAAAGAAATATGTTAGGGAGGGATCGGAGAAATATGTTTTATGGGTCCATTTGGGAGAAGAGGTATGGATTTATTGGGCATCTCGATGTTGCAAAGTTAGAAAATATGATTACGCAAATGGATATCAACTGTGGAGCAAATGTTAAAAAACAGCGAGCGGAGGGGCTAGAGACAGCGAGGGTATGGCTTTTTGAAGCGCGAAGGAGAGAGGAAGGAGAAAAGAGGAAGAAGTTAGAGATGGAGAGAGAAAGGGATATACAGAAAAAGGAAGTTTCAGGACCTCCCCCACAGCAAAGAGCAGAGAGGTTATATCCAGAGTTGGTAGAGCAAGCTTGGAAAGAAAGCCCAGATGACACCGTTGTCATGTGTAAAAGAAGATTAGGGGTGATCCCCGTCCTTCCCCCACCATATGACGGCCAAGCCAGAATGTTGGAAGGGCGGGAAGACGGGGGGCAGAGTAAAGAGGCCAGTGAAGAGAACAAAGAGGGGGAAGTTTTACAACAGGAGGTAGTCAGGTTAAGAATATAATTGGATAGGGAGAAAGAGGCAGGGAAAGCTAGAGAAAGTAAACACAGAGAGTTTAAGAACAGAGAGTTAAAAAGATTAGAAAACTACAATAAGCCAGGGAAGAAAGAGTGGGTAGATGATAACACAGGGGATGACCAGTACCCTTTGATAGCCTTGCCGAACCCAAGGGCTGGGGAGGAGCATGCACCAGACACACTGGATGTTTATAGGGCATGGAGACAACGGGATGTAGTGAGAGCTATAGAGGGTGTAGTGCACCCTAAAACAGGAATAGAGGGGTTCAGGAGGGATTTGGAGAGTCTAGCGGCAAGCTTTAAGCTGAACACAGGGGAAATTGAAAGGGCAGTCAGAACCCTAGTTGGGAAAGATTGGGCAGCTGTTCGGGGGCAGTGGGTTGCAGGGGATGCCAATGGAGCAGTCCTACCATGGGCAGATGATGGGCAATATGTTGGGAAAATAACTGAATTGTGTAATAATTTAAGGGAATATTACCATCGACATGCTGACTTCTCCAAAGTACATGAATGTAAACAGGAAGACAGTGAGACCATCAGCCAATACTTAGAGAGACTGAGAAATGTATTTAACGCAAATAGTGGGATACCTGAGCCTCCCCAAGGGAAAGGTGATGATACTCCGTACCATCAACAGTTAAAAATAGCATTCCTTAGTGGAATGAGACCAGAAATAAGCAGGAATATTAAGAGAACTTTAGTGGGATGGGGAACTACATCGTTAGCCGAGGTCAGGAGATATGCAATCCATCATGAGCAGAATAGTAGACAGGATAGAGTAAAAAGGGAACAAAAAGGGAGCAGAGTATTTAATTGCTACTCTGGGGGAGATAGCTGGGAGAAATAGAACTCCAGAAGAGGGGGGAGCGAGGCTTCGCTCTTTCCTGCCCTATGGGAAAGGAAGTAGGTGCTTTAACTGTGACAAAGAAGGACACTTTGTAAGGGAGTGTGAGGGGCCGTGTAAATACTGTAACGAGCCAGGTCATAACTATCGCGGCTGCAGCAATAAAAGAAGAGGCAAGCAAAATAATAGGGGGGGGGGAAAGAGAAAGGGCCTACAAACACCCACC